ACAACCCGTTTTGTGCTCCCCAGGCTCCAGAGGTTTTTCCTGAGCCTCTGGGAGGGCGAAAACAGGTTCCCCAGGCCCTCTGAAGACTGGAAATTGGCCTGTTTCCAGCCTTCCTGAACTTCCAATAGGCCCATGTTTTGCCCTCCCCGAGTCTCCGTGAGCATCTTGCACTTATCTGCATCCAAAACGGGTTGTGTGGGGACTCCTGCGAGGGCTGGGGGGGGGGGCCCAGTAGTGGGATTTGGGAGTTCTCTGAACTGCACAGAATCTTAGCTAGAGGTTCTCCCGAACCCTTGCAACCCCCCCCCCCAGCAGCCCACCACTGGTTATTGGTTACATACCTTGTAATGTATAATTTAATTTATACTGGGTGTCACATTGAGTGGATCTACCAGTGTTTCTCAAACTTGGCAATTTTAAGAGGTTTGGTCTTCAATTCTTAGAATTCATCAGTCATTGTGGTGGCTGGGGAGTTCTGGGAGTTGAAGTCCATACATTTTAAAGTTACCAAGATTGAGACGCTCTGCTGTAGAATGATATGGCGGCCATAAAAACTGTAGGTCTATTGGTCCCATGTAATGAATTTCTCCTTAAGCAGTGTGTGTCAACTCGCAAAGCATCCCTGGCCTGCTCTTGAGATGCCATAGGCAAGGGGGATGGAAAACTGATGAATGCATGGCAGCTACAAACAGAAACACATTCCAAGCGTATCTTTCTCAAGGCTGTCTCCCAGGTTACCTGCAGCAGCCGGAGGGATCTCTACAGCCCGCAAAAGTGCTCTATTGGTGAATGTGATTTATGACACACCCTGGGGGGACGGGGGGAAACAGACTCATAATTGGACCTAAATTACGTGGGGTGAGAGTTGGCTTCACTTGGGTAAGTGCCAACATGTTGCTCCCAACTGGATTTCTTTTGAAGTTTGGCTCGAGGCTCATGATTTAGTTAGGGCATCCGTCGGAACCCTGACAGTGTGTAGGATGTGTGTTTGTGTGTGTGTGTATGTGTGTTTGTATGTGTGTGTGAGAGAGGGGAGGAGAGAAGATGTATATTACGCCAATGTTTTGAAAGCATTGGGACTTCCAATATAACTGGGATTCAGTTCACGGGTGTCTCAACAATTTTGCACGATCCAGTGCTTCTAAAATACAATAGACTCCACACTTTTGGAAAAAATCTGTCTGATCTTGCATGGTCTTTAAAACCATCTCATTCAAGCTGCCTTGCTCACCTGAACAAGGTTTCTACAGTATAAAAATATCCAACCATGTT